TGCCAGTTTGCTTCAAAGTCCTATCATATTATAATTGTTTTTGACTTGGAATAATGTTTGGGATTTATTTATCCAATTTCAGTATCATAATCCCCTCTCTTCAAGGTACCCGAGGGTTGGTGATTATCTCTTCAGACCCAAATGACACCTTTCAGCCACACAATATTGTGCTGCTGCCCAGGAAACAGTGTCTCTTCCCGTCCAGTTCAAGCATCAAGCTCTCCTGCCGCATGGAAATAAGGCCCAGGGGGTCTTGCTGGCTGCCACTGCCACTGCAGTCTACTCAGACCACTGACTGATGGATCTGCTCATCTTGGCGGGATGTCACAGGGCAAGAGTGATTGTCACGACCAGTTGGGCAGCTCCACCATGTCCAGGTAGTTTCTGGTGGTGAAAGCCTGTGCAGCCTTTTGGGGGATGCCATTGCACAGTGGCTGTGGAAAGGCTAGGGTGTACAGCAGATCCAGCTGGCAGTCTGCAGGCTGGTGGGTGAGGGCTTCTTGGTGAAGACATTTGGCAGTAGTGTGGCACAGGAACAGGCTGCAAGTCTGAAGCCTGAAGCCTGGGTGCAGCCTCAACTCAGAGGGGGTGAGACCATGTCAAGTTGGCACCAGTCGGGTCAGGTAATGCACTGCAGTAAACAACATCAAAACAAATCTCGTGACGCTCAATGAGGCTTCCAGTTCCTCATAACTTAGCAATGTCGAAGCGAAATGAAACTAAAGAAGTCAATGTTAAACATGAACTTTATGTAGCTGCATGTTGTCTTTTTGTAATTCATATCCAAGGATGCTCAAATAACTACCGTACATTCTGTAGTTTCTCTCCAATTAACCAGCATGCTTTTCTACTCTTTCTGGAAAAGTGGACAATCTCATATATTCCTACATTATGCTCCACCTGTCAAACCTTTGACTAGTGACAAAGTTTCTATAGCCCTTTGAAGGCTCTTTCTACCCTCTTCACAACTTGCTTTCTTGCAGATCTTCCACTCATTAGCAATTTTGGCTACAATACAGTTCATCCTTTCATCCAAGTCATAACTATCAACTGTAAATAGTTGATGCATCAGTAAAGATTGCTGCAGCATGCCACCATTTAGAAATGACTCCAGTAATGATCAGTCTCTTTCCTGTTAGTTAGCTAGTCTTCTGTCCTTGCTATCATCCCCAACACCGCATGTTCACATCTTGCGTAGTAATCTTTATGGAGCACCTCACGAACTGTCTGTTGGAAGTCCAAATAGACTGCATTGACAAACTATGTACAAACTTGAATTCTCCTTCACAAAACCATGTTGACTCAGCCTCATTTATTGTGGTTTCCTAAATGTCGCTCCTGGATTCTAATATTTTCAATAACTGACATTAACCTAACTGGTCTATAGGTTCCTGCTTTCTGTCTCCCTCCTTCCTTGAACGACGTGATGTTTTATTTTGGTTTTTCCAAACTGCTGAGACAATGCCAGAATCTAAGGAATTTGGCAAAATTACAACCAATGCATCCAATAACTTTGCAGCTACTTTTCTCAGTACCTAGGATGCAGATGGTATTTAACTATTTTTGAGAGTATTTACCTCTGCCGTTTCCTTTCATTAATTCTTCAATCTCACCTTCTAAGGGATTAATACTCACTTCCCTTTCTCAATATATTTTTAAACAATCTGTTCTGACATAGAACATAGAACAGTACTGCACAGTACAGGCCCTTCGGCCCACAATGTTATGCCGATGTATCATCCTACTAAGATCAATCTACCCTGCATACCCTACATTTTACTATTCTCCATGTGCCTATCCAAGAGTCGCTTAAAAGTCTCTAAAGTATCTGACTCCACTACCACTGCCGGCAGTGCATTCCACACGCCCACCACTCTATGTGTAAAGAACCTACCTCTGACATCTCCCCTATACCTTCCTCCAATCACCTTAAAATTATGCCCCCTCATAACAGTCATTTCCGCCCTGGGAAAAAGTCTCTGACTATCCATTCTATCTATGCCTCTCATCATCTTGTACACCTCTATCAAGTCACCTCTCATCCTTCTTCGTTCCAATGAAAAAATCCCTAGCTCCCTCAACCTTTCCACATAAGTCCTGCCCTCCAGTCCAGGCTGCATCCTGGTAAATCTCCTCTACACCCTCTCTAAAGCTTCCACATCTTTCCTGTAATGAGGTAACCAGAACTGAACACAATATTCCAAGTGTGGTCTAACCAGAGTTTTATAGAGCTGCAGCATAACCTCACGACTCTTAAACTCAGTTCCCCTGCCAATGAAAGCCAACACATCATATGCCTTCTTTACAACCCTATCAACTTGGGTCACAACTTTGAGGGATCTATGGATGTGGACTCCAAGATCCCTCTGTTCCTCCACACTGCCGTGAATTCTGCCATTACCCTGTATTCTGCATTCAAATTCAACCTTCCAAAATGAATCACTTCACACTTTTCTGGGTTGAATTCCATCTGCCACTTCTTTGCCCAGCTCTGCATCCTGTCAATGTCCCGTTGCAACCTACAACAGCTCTCCACACTGTCCACAACTCCACCAACCTTCGTGTCATTGGCAAACTTGCTAACCCACCTTTCCACTTTCTCATCCAAGTCATTTATAAAGATTACTTTTCTTTTTCTTTTTTTCATTTTTTTTATTAAGTGGATTTGATTTTATTAAAACTGCATTCACAAATACTGGAGTGTTTCAAAACAAATATTGTGTTTTTGGTAGCATGTCACTCCACCATTTTGAGGGGAATTTCAAATGATTCAAAAAAAAAGTCATTCAATATATTAATGATACTTTTATTTGCTTCCTTCCCTCTTTTGATACATGAAAGACTTTTAAATTCATGATACTATTAAATCTATAATACCTTGTATTGCAGACACCCACTGATTATATCAAGACAAAAAAAGTAAAAACAACAGGATCAATGTCCACCATCAGCATCCCGTACTAGTAATTTTTTAAAAGCTGAAGCTAAACAGGTAACTCATGGGAAGTCACAAGTTTGTCTCGTCTCGAGAATCAAACAAAAAAGTACATCAGAAGGGAGAATACAGCTGCCAATGAAGTTTCAAATCAAAACACTGTTCGATCATTTCCCCCCTGGATAACTGAAATAGGGACTTTTTAATGAATTACAATATACACTTGAATTCCTGAAACACAACTTGAGGTGTGCATTAGTGCACAAGCTATTTATAGTAAAATAGTCATTAGTGTAAATTTAAATCACTACTTTAAAAACATGCATTTCACAAATATTTACATTACTTTTTAAAGTTATATTTATCATTTTTACCCCCACCCCCCACCCAAACACACAGCTCGCAATTTTAGTTGAGTAGAACACTTCAAAGATAAAGAATATGAATATTTTCCCTTCTGGCAACTGATCAACAGCTTACCATAAGCAAGTTATTAGGAACTACACCGTTCCAATTTCACACACTGAATAGATATAAACCTAGATACACACGAGCTCCACACTGGTATGGTGAAATGCATGCATCAGCAACACAGCCCCCTGAGTAGAAACATTACAAAAATACCATATATAGGAGCACTTAGACAAAGTCAGTACACACACAACTCCACAGCTATATCATTTTTTGCACACAGGTGACTTGAGCAGGTAATGCCAATCACCTTTCAATAAACCTCCGACTGAAACCTTTGGCTATGCACCTTTCTTCATGTGTAAGACACACTGTACAACTGTCACCACTGACCAACGGAGCTCGGAAAATAACTCATTAAGTGTCCTGAATTGTCTGCAGTTCCAATGCAGACACAGTTTGTAATATCTGTTCTAGAATTCTAATGGACAGTGTAACAAAATGTTCCTTTTATCAACTTCACCATGAGTGAGTTTCCCATAAAAAAAATGTTTCAACCCTCTTCCAGAACAAGTGGGTCTTCAACCTGCACCTTCTGACTTAGAGTTAGGGACATTACCATGTGCCACAAGAGCCTTACTTTCCTTTAAGATACATGTAGAAGCTTAAAGCCATGGTGATGTCCGACTTGTAGAATTAAAACTGATTTGATTGCTGTTATGCCTTGGACTTCACTGGAGAGAGGCTGCTAACTTGGCAGTGGAATTTTTTTAAAAATCAACCTGTTCAATGAAATGTTATGGCACACTTCTGGAGCAGGTCGAACTTGAACACAGGCCTCCTAGCTCAGAGGTAAGAACATTACCACTGTGCCACAAAAGCTCTCACGAAAGCAATTGGGTCACTGCTGCAAGATTCCCTCAGAGCATGCTGGTTTTCTTTAGCTAATGGCAAAATAGTTAGCTTTAAAATACTCCAGCTGGCTGGAATGTTTCCTGTTCAATGGAATTTTGATTGTCATTTAATGTTAGCATTCATTCACTGATCTTTAGCTCCTCGACAGTGCCAATTGTTAATTTAGAATATCGATCTATTTGAAGAGGGAGGACAACAATTATTGATTGTATACTGCTCAGAACTTAAAGAAAGTGATATGAGAAATGAATTTTTACATATTTAAACCCTGTGGACCTCACACTGTTCTTAACACATTTCTTCTGCAAAATACAGGTCACGTGCTTCATACTGTATTTGCCCACCATACTCTGAAAACAACCAAATTTAGGGGGCTCTGATTAGGTAACCCACATAAATCGCCCATTTGTTATCAAGTTATTACATTTTTATAACTTCAAAAAATGAGATCAACAAACAGCCTATCATACCCATGTTACCTTAGTAAAACACAAGTTTAAATACAACAGCATTAAAAGCAGATGAACGATGCCAAGCTGTTCAAGTTACCAAAATCAAAACTGATTGCAAGAATTTCTCAGTTGCACAGACCTACCATGTATGCTGTAAATTCTAACAAGATGTCCAGAAAATTCTGGTGCACGTTTCGGGTATATCAACAGTAAAGACATTAATGTTTCAGACCAAACATGCCCTTCCAGTAAATTCCAGCCAATAACTTAAAATTATTCACACTTACTCAGATTCCACTTGAGGCCAGTTGTTGTTACATTGCATGCATTTCCCACTGGGACAAGGCCACACCACTTATCCTCTAATCCCGTGTCAACACGCAGTCTGTGGTGACCCTGCCGGAAACAATACATGTCAGCTTTATTTTTAAATTTATATTCAATTTAGAAGGTACTCCAAAACCTTAGAGAAGGTACATCATGAAAAACCTTTCAGTAATTGCTGTACTTACATTATGAAAGATCAATACAATGCATATTTGTTTTAAAGCAGTCAAAAGAATCCAAAGTTTTGTTGCCATTTAATTCAGTCAGAACAATTTTTCAATAACGTCAACAATTGTCACTTGCATAATTTACCTGCAATGGTTAATTTATCAAAATTTCAAAAACTTTCAACTTTTACTGAAATTCAAAGAGATTTTGCATATAAGTTGGCCTTTGGCAAGACTGAAGGAGTTGGAAGGAAAAAGAAGTGATAGGCAAAAATGAAGTGAACAATACAAAGACCTTAAATGGGGACAAGTACCAGACTAGCACAACACCTGACCCAACTGATGGGTGAGGATTTGGGCATACGTTTGCATGAACAAAGTGTGAAGGATACTGCAGGAAACAAAACCAAACCAGTTCTGAGGAAGGGTCACCGGACCCGAAACATTAACTCTGTTTTTTCCTTCACTGATGCTGCCAGACCTGCTGAGCTTTTCCAGCAATTTCTGTTTTGTTTCCTAATTTACAGCATCCGCAGTTCTTTTGTTTTTTTTTAATTTTGTGAAGGGTACTATCCTGTTTGGTAGTCCAGGAGAATATACTGTACAGGAGGTGGTGATGGCCTAGTGGAATTATCACTGGACTGTTAATCCAGAGGCCTCGGTAATGGTCTGGGCATCCGGGTTCGAAACCTGCCACAGAATTCAATAAAAATCTGGAATTAAGAGCCTAATGATGACCACAAATCCAATGCCGATTGTTAGGAAAAACCCATCTCGTTCATTAATGTCCTTTAGGGAAGGAAACTGCCATTCTTACCTGGTCTGGCCTACGTGTCTCCACAGGAATGTGGTTGACTCTTAACTGCCCTCTTGGCATTTAGGGATGTGCAATAAATGCTGTCCTAGCCAGTGACGCCCTCATCCTGTGAATGAATTAAAAACTAACTTCCCTTTCAGGAGCTGGGAATTATGCTCAATGCATAAGCTTCTACTATAATACTCTCAATCTTGAGTACACTGTCATTTTTCTGAACAACACGAATAAGCAATATTCATCTTGAAAAAATCTTCCATGCGAGGGAAGACTCCACATTTCAATTGAGAAACAAATTGCTGGCAAAGAAACTGTAAGGACCTGCATAGTCATCATCTTGCTACCAGGAGGTTTCTTGTTGGCAGATCAATTTTCACAGGATCATAGTGTACAGAAGAGTCTGTACTGCCAGAAACTCTAGATCTATTCTTGTCTCACTTTGGAGCTCTGGCCTTGAATGTTTTGACACTTCAAGTGCTCATCCAAGTACTTTTTCAAGGTTTTGAGGTTACCCACTCAACTACCTTTCCAGGAGTGCATTCCAAATCCCTACCACCTTCAGGGTGGTTGGGGGGGGCGGGGAGCTCCTCAAATCCCCTCTAAAACTCTTGCCTTTCACCTTAAAGTTATGTTCATTGGTCTTGACCGTTCAACTAACAGGAACAGCTGCTTTCTATCCACTCTGCCCACGTTCCTAGTCTTATACACCTCAATCAGGTCCCTTCTCTGCTCCAAAGGAAACAACTCCGGCTTGCCCAGCCTCCCTTTGTAGCTAAAGTGGTGAATTGCGGTGAATCTCCTCTGCACCCCTCCTGTGCAATCACATCCTTCCTACAGTGCAGTGTTCAGAATCACACACAGTATCCAGTTGAGGCCTAACCAATGTTTTGAACCTTGCTGCTCTTATGATCAATGCCTCAACTGATAAAGGCAAGGGTGATTTATGCCTTCTTAACTATAGTTTAAACCTGTTCTATCATCTTCAGAGATTTGTGGATAAGCACCCCAAGATCCTCCTGTTTATTTGAGCCTCCCAATGTCATGTCATTCATTAGGTACTCCCTTGTATTGTTAATTCATTGCAATTTTCTAGGTTAAGTTCCATCTGCCACTGATCTGCCCATTTGAACAATCTGTCTAAATCCTCCTGTAACCTAAGACGTTCTTCCTTACTGCCAACCACCTGAAAATCTTTATGTCATTTTCAAACTTATTTATCAATGTCTTCTCCCACATTCTTATCTACATCATTTATATATATATATCACAAAGAATAGGGACAAGCAAGGCTAAACAATGCATTTTGGGAGGTTTAATAAGGGAAGGATATACGCAATGAATGGTATGTCCTTAGGGAATACTGAGGAACAAAGGACCTTGGTATACAAGTTCATAGATCCCTGAAGGTGTTAGTACAGGTAAATAGGGAGGTGAAGAAGGCATAGGGGATGCTTGCCTTCATTTGCCAGGGCACAGAATGCAGAAGGAAGGAAATCTTGTTACAACTTTATAAAACATTGGTCAGGCCACAGATTGAATTCTGTGTGCAGTTCTGGTTGTCACACAATCAGAAAGAGGTGATTGCACCGGAAAGCGTACAGAGGAGATTCACCAGGATGTTGCCTGGGATGAAAAGTCTCAGTTATAAGGAGAGACTGGATAGGCTGTGTTTGTTTTCCTTGGAGCAGAAGATGCTGAGGGGGTCCTGACTGGGGATACAAAATTATGTCAGCCATACACAGGGTAGATCATGAGAATCTTGTCCCCATAGCAGATGTGTCTAAGACCAGAAGGGATACATTTAAGTAAGTGGTTTAGAAGAGATTTGAGAAAAAAAAACACCCAGAGGGTGGTAGAAATATAGAACACACTGCCTGAGAGAGTGGTGGAGGCAGGTACTCTCACAACATTTAAGAAGCATCTGGCTGAACGCTTAAGACGACAGGGCATATAGGCTACGGTCCAAGTGCATGGGATTAGTGTAGTTTGGTGTTTGTTGATCAGCATAAACATGGTGGGTATGCTTTATGATGCTACGAATCCAAGATGAAGGACAGGAAAAAATTGAGGCTGTAACAGCTGCTCTTTTTTGCGGTATCTTTAGTGTCGGAGCTGATTTCCTATAATTCTAGGAGCAGTAATTACTATTTTATAAGCTGTTGCATTGTTTTGGAACTTTGGGGGAAAAGCAAAAGATCAAAATAACAGCAGTTTAAGAAGGAGGAAGACAAACAGTGACCACATGGGAAGTGAACCAAACACAGAAATAAACCTGCACTGTTGTCTAACCCAGCAGCGAATCTGCACAGCTGACTGTTTGATTTCAAGTATCTCTGGACATCGGAGTCATCTATGAAAAATTAACCAACAGTGAAATTCACAGCTGACCTTGGAGAAACCTGTGTGGGAAAGCTCACAGCAGGAGAGCAGCTAAGCGGCTTTTTAAAATTCTAGGCTTATTTTTTCTTTGAGAATCAACAATAGTGAGTGGAGTGGATTTCTTTTTGATTATATGTTTTATTGAGATCTGTCTCTTGATTAAACTTTAAAAATATAAAACATCGGTCCCAAGTTAGCCTGGAGCACTGTTTTGTTACAGCAATAAGACTGCTATTTTCTGGATCTGTACATTGGTAAGCTGCAAAGATGCCTTTACTAGAGTGATGTGCTCTTCCAGTTGGATGTGGGAGATTAGAAAGAGTTTCCATGTTCCTGTTGATTATGCCTGCAGGAAGTGTGTTTGAGTGTGAATTCTATTGGATCACATGGATCAGCTGGAGTGGCAGTTAGAGGCATTGAGAAATTTACAGGAGCAAGGGGTGTGATGGATGGTGGTTGCAGACCATCAGGTAGATGGGTTACCTCCAGGAAATGTAGGAGAGGTCATGCAGGAGTTTCCTGTGGCTATCGCCAACTAGTATGCTGTTTTGGAAAATGTAGGGAGTTATGGACTCTCAGGGGAACATAGCACTGACAGCCAGGTTTTTGGTACCAAGACTGGCTCTTATGAAACGAGGGGTACGTCAGGTTTCAAGTGATCGATTGTGATGGGGTTTGCTCTAGTCTAAGGCACTGACAGACATTTCTATGCCCAACAACAAGATATCAGAATGGTGTGCTGCCTCCCTGGTACCAGGATCAAGGATATCTTGGAGAGGATGCAGAACATTCTCAAAGGGGAGAGGGACCAGCAGGAGGTCGTTGTACACAATGAGCTAATGACATAGGAGGAGAAAAGGATCCAGATTCTGAGGAGAGAATATGGGAAGTTAGGCAGGAATTTAAAAAGGAGGTCCTCAAGGGTAGTAATGTCTAGATTACTCCCAGTACCACAAGCCAGTGAGGGTAGGAGTAGGAGGATAGAGCAGATGAATGCATGGCTGAGGGCCTGGTGCAGGGGAGAAGGATTCACATTTTTGGATCATTGGAATATTTTCTGGGGTAGAAATGACCTGTATAAGAAAGATAGATTGCACCCAAATTAGAAGGGGACTAATACTGGTTGGGAGATTTGCTAGAGCTGCTCAGGACGACTTAAGCTAGTAAGCATGGACGGGTCAGGAAATGGTGTGGGACCCAGGGAGATAGAGGAAAGAGTTCAGTCTGACGCTGGTGCAGTTGGGCTGGAAAAGGAGCAAGTCAAACAGGGCAGGCAGGAACAAAGCAAAAAACAAGGTAGGACTGATTAATAAAGCTGCATTTATTTCAATGCAAGAGGCCTAACAAGTAAGGCAGATGACCTCAAGGCATGGTTGGTAACATGGGACTGAGATATCATAGCAATTACAGAGATGTAGCTCAGAGATGAACAGGACTGGCAGCTTAATACTCCAGGGTATAGATGCTATTAGAAGGATAGCAAAGGGGGGCAAGAGAGGAGGTCGAGTCACATTTTACATTACAGATAACATTACAGGTTTACTTAGAGAGGATATTCCTGGAATATGTCCAGGGAAGTTATTTGGGCGGAACTGAGAAATAAGAAGGGGATGATCACCTTATTGGGATTATACTGTAGAACCCCCAACAGTCAGAGGGAAATTGAGAAACAAATTTGTAAGGAGATCTCAGTTATCTGTAAGAGTAAT